TCCTACAATGGCAGGTCATAATAGATTTTAAATATTATTTTCAATTCAGAACAAGCTTTTGTTTATTATATAATACAAAACAGTTTTTTGCACTTTATAATTCAATTAGTCTCCTAAGAATACTTCAGAAGAAAAAAAGAAAGCAAAACTTTTCTCCAAAAGAAAGTCAGAAACTTCACTATTACTGGAGTCCAAACTTTTTCAAGGCCAGAATTATGGCTGTCGCAAAGTAGGTAAGTCACTTTGGAGTCACACATATCTGATTTCAAACACAAATTCTGACCATTGACAGTCATTTATTCTTGATTAAGTAGAGAAATCTTTTATTTTCAAATCCTATAGCTGCAGTAAAATAAAACACAGAAAATACAAGAGGGATTGTTTACTGAATTTATCTAATGTAGATGCTCTCGATACATTTTTCAAGAGAAACTCTTATTTTAAGTAAGATTTAGAATCTGAATTGCAGATTGTGTGCTAAGTCGCTCAGTCATATCTGACTCTGTGTGACCCTATGGACTGTGGCCTGCCAGGCTCCTCTGTCCATGGGAATTCTCCAGGCCAGAATACTGGAGTGGGTTGCACTCCTCCAGGGGATCTTCCTGAGCTTGGGATCAAACCTGCATCTCTTATGTCTCTTGCATTGGCAGGCAGGTTCTAAATAGATTTTTTTAAATCAATATATGAATTACTTTATTTATTAAATCAATAATATTAATGTTATTTTAATAGTATTAATACAAGGCTTAGCAAGACAAGATAGTATAAGCAAGGTAATTTGCACTTCTGAAATTGTCTTGAATTTTGTAAGAGTTTTATGTGTATATATTTAAAATTTCCTCTTTACCTATTGGTATGTTTGATTGAAGCAATTACCTTTTTTTTTTTCCATTTATTTTTATTAGTTGGAGGCTAATTAGTTTACAATATTGTAGTGGTTTTTGTCATACATTGACATGAATCAGCCATGGATTTACATGTATTCCCCATCCCGATCCCCCCTCCCACCTCCCTCTCCAGCCGATCCCTCTGGGTCTTCCCAGTGCACCAGGCCCGAGCACTTGTCTCTTGCATCCAACCTGGGCTGATGATCTGTTTCACCCTAGATAATATACATGTTTCAATGCTGTTCTCTCGAAACATCCCACCCTCGCCTTCTCCCACAGAGTCCACAAGTCTGTTCTGTACATCTGTGTCTCTTTTTCTGTTTTGCATATAGGGTTATCGTTACCATCTTTCTAAATTCATATATATGTGTTAGTATACTGTAATGGTGTTTATCTTTCTGGCTTACTTTGCTCTGTATAATGGGCTCCAGTTTCATCCATCTCATAGAACTGATTCAAATGAATTCAACGGCTGAGTAATATTCCATGGTGTATATGTACCACAGCTTCCTTATCCATTCGTCTGCTGATGGGCATATAGGTTGCTTCCATGTCCTCGCTATTATAAACAGTGCTGCGATGAACATTGGGGTGCACGTGTCTCTTTCAGATCTGGTTTCCTCGGTGTGTATGCCCAGAAGTGGGATTGCTGGGTCATATGGCAGTTCTATTTCCAGTTTTTTAAGGAATCTCCACACTGTTCTCCATAGCAGCTGTACTAGTTTGCATTCCCACCAACAGTGTAAGAGGGTTCCCTTTTCTCCACACCCTCTCCAGCATTTATTGCATGTAGACTTTTGGATAGCAGCCATCCTGACTGGCGTGTAATGGTACCTCATTGTGGTTTTGATTTGCATTTCTCTGATAATGAGTGATGTTGAGCATCTTTTCATGTGTTTGTTAGCCATCTGTATGTCTTTGGAGAAATGTCTGTTTAGTTCTTTGGCCCATTTTTTGATTGGGTCATTTATTTTTCTGGAATTGAGCTGCAGGAGTTGCTTGTATATTTTTTAGATTAATCCTTCGATTTTGAAGAGAAAAGTCATATTTTAAGTAAGATTTAGAATGTGAATTGTAGATTATCACTGATCTATTTGTAATGTCCATTTGGCAAGGGCCCTCGCTTGCTGCGGCCACCTTGGTTTCCAGGATAAACGTGAAATTGTTCTGAATCCCCTCCAAGAATTCTAGGAATCTCTGGAAGAAGTGGGGGAGGCGGCCGGAAGTGGAGGCCTATGCCTCTCAGAGCTTCTCTTGATCGTCAGTCAGTCATTTCCTAATTTCTCTCCTCCCACTGTCTTTTCCTTTCTGGATGTTCTGTCTCTTTTCTGAATCTCACTGCCTCCTGGACACACCCAGGTCTTTATTTCCCCAAGTGTTGACTTATGGTATGTGTTATCTGACTTTATTAAAATATTAAAAATATGGGACAAGGAAAGGGAAAATTGCACAGTAGTCAGAGGCAGCTTAAAAGTGAGGGTATGACATAAAGTTGAACTTTCTGCTCTTGAAAGTTTCACCCGGCATTTCTCCCAGGGTGAGTTTTCCCCGTGTGCTGTGCTTACGCTCACTCAGTCGTGTCCGACTCTTTGCAACCTCAGGGACTGTAGCCCACCAGGCAACTCTGTTCACGGGATTTCCCAGGCAAGAATACTGGAGTGGGTTGCCACTTCCTACTCCAGGGGAATCTTCCTGACCCAGGGATCGAACCTGTGTCTCTACAGAGTGTTCCTTAGCCTTCTACTAGGTTGCTGGTCCCCTGCCAGGTCGCTGGGTCCTCTCTTGTCGCAAAGCCCCTCCAGCCCTGTCTCACTTTCTCGAGACCCCAGCAGCCCCAGTTGCCTTGGGCTGCTTTTGCACAGTCATCAATACTCACTTTTGTCTCGTGTTTCCACCACGGGGCTAACGTATAGCCTTATTTATTAGACGACTACATCAGTCTTCTAACGTAGGCCACTAGGCAGTGCTTTTCTTTTTCCTTTCTTTGTTTCTTTTTGAACTCAAGGAGACTGGCGGGCTACAGTCCATACGGTCACAAAGAATCGGACAGGACTGAAGCATGCTTCAACTGAGCGCGCACACGTGCACATTCTGAAAGAATCTCAGTTCCCCTCATACAGTTTTAAGTTGATGTTCTCAAGCTTGTTATCCTGCATTTCAGTACCCTCCCTGCTTTTAAGTATCTTCACATATCTTACATCTCACAGAGTGGTTTCCTTGTCCGCGTGGAAACCAATTATCCGTGCTCCTCTCTTACCGCCTGGACTGAGTGTATGGCAGGAATACCTTCATGGTTGTAACCCTGGTGGAGCCCGACTCAACTCCTGGCACTTGCTCAGTGCTCAAAAATCTCTCAAGTTTAGTGCAGTGTATAGAGGCCCCTATGGGGATTAATAGAATCAGGGTTCAAACAAAAACCCTGGTTCCCAGACTCTGCTAAGCAAAAACATTTGCTTCTGATTCCTTGGGAATTCCACATGTACTGACTGAGAAGGTTTCCCAGGCAGCACTCATCCAGCCCTCTGCTGCAGGATGGGCTGACTGTAGAACCAGCCTTATCTAGAGTCAGAGATGCGTCTGGAGACCCGCATTCCACTCCCAGGCACTGGTTCCCAGTACAGTTGGGAGGCAAATGTGAAAGCTGACTTAATCAAACTGACCATGTTGTTGAATTTATTAAGCATACACTGTCAAAATGGAAAGCTTAGTTGTTTCAAGATATTTTCAAAGTGTAAACATTTTACTTGCTGCTGCTGCTAAGTCACTTCAGTCGTGTCCAACTCTGTGCGACCCCATAGACGGCAGCCCATCAGGCTCCCCCGTCCCTGGGATTCTCCAGGCAAGAACACTGGAGTGGGTTGCCATTGCCTTCTCCAATGCGTGAAAGTGAAGTCGCTCAGTCGTGTCCGACTCTTAGCGATCTCACGGATCGCAGCCCATCAGGCTCCTCCATCCACGGGATTTTCCAGGTAAGAGTACTGGAGTGGGGTGCCATTGCCTTCTGCGGAAGGCACCTGAGTTGATCTTTTTACGGACCTACATATGGTCAGGGTCTTCGATCAAATGAGACAATTTAATTAATGATGTTTTAAGTAAAATGTTGGAGAAGGAAATGGCAACCCACTCCAGTGTTCTTGCCTGGAGAATCCCAGGGACGGGGGAGCCTGGTGGGCTGTCATCTATGGGGTCACACAGAGTCGGACACAACTGAAGCGACTTAGCAGCAGCAGCAGCAGCAGGTGACTTCAACCATAATATTAGTTCAGGTATACAACTTACAGTAGGAATGTTTGATGCAGCTATGTTTGGGAAACTCATAATTCCAGATGAAACACACATGTGCCACCGCCCCTTTCTTAATATTCTTTTTGCACCCTCTAAAATGTATGATTAGATGATTAAAAAACAAAAGCAAAAATGAAAACAGTTCAGCAGGAAAGAGATAGGAGAATAAAGTCAGGCGGTGTCTCATACCTCTTACTTTGTACTTCCTTAAAAATTTTGTTTGTTTGGCTGTGTCTGGTCTTAGTTGTAGCACACGGGATCTTTAGTTGTTACTTGCAGGGTCTTTAGTTGTGGCATATGGAATCTTAGTTACGGCATGCAAGCTCTTTAGTTGTGGCATGTGGGATGTGGCATGTTCCCTGACCAGGGATCAAGGCTGGTCCCCTGCACTGGGAGTGCAGTCTTAGCCACTGCACCACCAGGGAAGTAAGTCACTTACTTTGTACTTTTGATCCCTGTCTTTTATTGCTCTTTCCTTAAGTGAAATGAGAATTTGGACAAGAAATAATGAAATGAATAAACTTTAACTCTTTTCTGACAGGGACTGTCTTAGACATTTAGTAGCCATAGGACTTGTAAGAACCAAAGTTGGATACCAATCCGTTACACTCCAGTAATCAACACTGGTTTAGTTTTTCATGCCATCCATTTTATCTTGGTAAGAGGAAAATGATAAAAAGAGATAATAAATGACTAAACTTGGTATGGGAAGTTAATAGTAGTATTGACACTTGATATCAGAGGCAGTTCTTAAACTATGTTGATGAGCTTACATAAAATCACTTTCTGGCCTCTTTAAGTCCATTTCTTAAAAAATTCTCTTTGCAGGTAAAGATAAGATTAAAGTGTCTGAGGATGACTTGAAGAAACTCCCTTTAATTAAATGGTGTATTTTGGAAACCATTCGTTTGCGAGCCCCTGGTGTCATCACTCGAAAAGTCCTGAAGCCAGTTAAAATTTTGGTGAGCTTTGATTTTGTTGTAAAATAATGAACCTTCTAGAAAAAAAAGTAGACCTTTTATCCATTTGTTGTTAGATACTTTCTTAATTTCCATGAAATACTGAGTGACACTGGAACAGGTTACTAGTAAAAGCTGTGCAGTAACATTTTGTTAATATAGGTATTTATCTGTTGGCAACTGTTTTAGCTAAAACACAACCCTTTTGTAATCACTTTAGCTATGTGGTTCTGTATTAGAATTAGTACAAGCCTATTTCAATCAAACTGGTAGGTTGGATACTCTCTTCTCTGTTGAAACAACCAGTGAGTACCCCCTCAACTGGAATAGGTTGAGGAATTGAGGGCATGAGGAAGGTCCTTTAGGATAACTGGAAGACAGTGCAGGCCTCAGATCAGTTACAGGTACACATAACAGGAATGCTGTGGGTAGCTGCAGCTGATGTTAGGAATTAACTGTGTGAGATCCTTTCTGTGGGCTAAGTAGAATTTTCTCAAGTGCACCATAAAAGATATGTGCATATGCCAGATATTTAGTTCAACATACAGTGAACCAATCAGGCAGAACAAAATAATCTTTTTTAGATGATTGACTTGGGGACTGAATTATCCGGATAGGTTGTATTTAGTCAGCCCTCCATTTATATTAGCTTCGTTTATACACAGCTTGAGAGTGCCTGGATTTAAGTCAAGAAAATTTTGTGGTAGTAGAACACAAAAGAGACAAAAAATCCAAATTTTATACAAGTTGCAGCTTGCTAAATACAAAGGAAACATAGTTTATTTAACTGATCTTATACAAATTGTAGCATTCAGTTTTAAAGGGATTTTTTTAACAGTTTTTGCTTTTAAATAACCAAAGTATTAATTATATTAGACTATGAATATAAATGAATATATATTTAAATGTTTATAAATCTAAATATAGATATAATTTGTATAATAAATATATAAATGTTTATTTATATAATAAAAATATACATATTGATTGGAAATAGTCAAACAAATTCATGCAGTTAAGTAGAACAAAGTGTTTATCACTCTGAATATTACTATTCAATATAATTGTTATTGAATTTTTATTAAGCCTTATTTATATCCTGGCCAATAGATAAGTAGCTGAATTGCAGAATAGTTAATTGTCTGAGAAAGACAAGTGGATGTTTGTTTTTATTGTTATTTTAAGCCTACAGTTCGTATACAAATTCTATTAGACCTATACCTGAATTTTTCTGCTATTTTAAAGTGTAGAGGAGAAAAAGACCATAAAGAGAAGCTAAAAGAAGAAATTAAAAGTTGCTTAGAATCTCACAAGTCAGAGATAACCACTGTGAATATTTTGATATTATTGTAATTTTAGAATTTTATCCTGTAGTATGTCCATTAAAAAATAAATTGAGGTCACACCAAGCTAATTTTCTCACAACTTAACTTTTATTTTATTTTAACAATAGATCCAAAATATTTTAATCAGTATAAGACATTTATATCAGTTTGAATTACAGTATAATCTAATATTGAATATATGGACACCAAATAAATTTTTAAATCAGTTCCCTGTTACTGAATATGTATATGGTTCCATTCTTTCACTGTTATAAACAGTGTAAAGATGAGCATTCCTATCGCTAAATATTTGTGCACATTACCGATTATCTTCTTAGTATAAATGAATACAACTTGGTTCTTTTAAACATCAAATATTCTCTGACACAAAGTAGAATATCTTTGCTGAATATATTAACATGTTCCCAGGAGTTTGGGCCATAGAAACATTCATAGATGGGATCACCTATGTCTTGACCAATTGGACAACTGGTCAAGTTTCCTTGCTATGAATTCTAGAGGTATTCTCCACTGCTCTTTCCTAATGGAGTCTGAGCAGGATATTTATTTTTGCTCTCGTAATTACTTCTTTATATATATTTATATATATATGAATAAGTGAGAATGGACAAGCTTTTTCTGCTTTCTCTGGTTTGCTCTGTCCCTCCTTCTCTTTATTACGCCAGCTTTCCAAAACTCTTAACCTTCTATTTGTGCTCTCTCAAAGGTCTCATATTTAGTACCAAGCTAACCTGCAAGAATTCCTAGGGAAGAACTAGCCAAAAAAAGTGTTGGAAACTGTGACTAATTGAGGAATATTAGTTAATTCTCAAGGTATTAAAACATGCAGCAAAACTACAGTAATTAAAATGGCATGATACTGGTGTCAGACCTGATATTCAGATCAATATAACAGACTTGATAGGACACAAGCCATGCAGAATATGTGATATAGGATAGATAAGTCTTTGTAAGTACCTGAAGAAGAATGAGATTAATATATGGTTTGGGATGACTGGCTAACAATGGATATTTTTTTTTTAGCTTCTAGAATAACAGTTCTCAAACATTTTGACCTTATGGCCTCTTTCTACTTTACAAAATTATTAAGAGCCTCAGAGAGCTTTTGTGTATATGAGCTATATTTATCAATACTTGCTGTATTGGAAAATAAAGCTGAGAAATTATTAAATGTTTATTTAGTTGTTGTTGTTCAGTCAAATTCATTTTAAAAAGAAGAAACCTAATACATGTTAAAATAATAATGTGATTTTATGAAACATGACTATATTTTTCAAAACACATAAAAATAGAACAGCATCATTTCAAGCGTTTGCAAAGATATCTGAAATACGGGAAAGATATATGGGAATATATGTGTCTGTTGTCAGTCTGTTGTGATATATTGTTTTCTACTGATGGAAATGAAAAAAATTCAGCTTCCCACAGACATGTAACCAAAAAAGGGAAGGAGTGTTTTATTAGCCTTTTCAGATATTTTTGTGGCTATTCTTTGATTCTACACTAAAACTCAACAGCAATACCTTTTTAAGTTTGGTGCAGTCTGAAATTTTATCAATGAATTTTTTTGTACTTAGTTACATTAAAATGCATTGGCCTGTCATGCTTCCCTGGTGGTTCAGTCGGTAAATCCCACCTGCAATGCAAGAGACTGCTTACAAGACAGGAGACCCGAGTTCAATACCTGGGCTGGGAAGATCCCCTGTAGAAGGAAATGGCAACCCACTCTAGTATTCTTGCTTGGAAAATTCCATGGACACAGGAGCCTGGAGTTCATGGAGCCGTAAGAGCTGGACACCACTTAGCGACTGAACCACCTCCACCATCCCATACTTTGAATAAGTCTTTTATTCAGGAATGATTTTTGATCTAGGTGATTCTCTGCAAAGGTCTCGGGACTCCCAGAAGACCTAACCCACCTTTGAAAGCCACTATTGTGGAGAGAGGGCTTCCCTGATAGCTCAGTTGGTAAAGAATCTGCCTGCAATTCAGGACAGCCCGGTTAGATTCCTGGGTCGGGAAGATTCACTGGAGAAGGGAAAGGCTACCGACTCCAGTATTCTTGGGCTTCCTTGGTGGCTCAGCTGGTAAAGAATCTGCCTGCAATGTGGGAGACCTCGGTTCGATCCCTGGGTTGGGAAGATCCCCTGGAGAAGGGAAAGGCTACCCACTCCACTCTTCTGGCCTGGAGAATTCCATGGACTATACAGTCCATGGGCTCACAAAGACTTGGACACAACTGAGCGACTTTCATTTCACTTCACATGAATGTCATTGTGGAGAGAAGAGAGCTTCTTAGGTTTAGGATTAATCAGTGAAACCACAATGCAGATGAACAAACTGTACCATATCAAAATTTAACATATCCTATTAAGTATAGCCTAAATTAAATGTAAGCCAAAAAATTAAGAATAAATATCAGTCTTAGCACAAGGCAAGTGTAAATAATTTTAGTATTTAATGAATTCACAGATCAATAAATAAAGCACTAATACTACATAGATTACTGAGGGTAGGACGTGAGGGCACAAATTTTATGGCAGAAAATAACTTAAAATGAAAAATAGTAAAGACATAAATTCTTGAACAGCAATCAAAAAGAACCTATTTAAAATGTCAGGTTAGCAGATAAGAGGGCAATGAAATTGATACTCTCATATATTGCAATTAGAAACATATCTTGCTACAAAATTTGAGGGAACAGTTGAGCAACATGTATGAATAGCTTTAGATATTCTGAAGACATAGGACATGTATATTCTCATGTCATCTGAACATCTTTGTTAAAAGATTTTATATGAACAGTGCTTTGTGAAAGAAGATACTTGTGATAGCATTATTTGTTATAGAAATAATAGTAGAAAATGATTAATTAAGCATCCATTGGAGAGAAAATTATTTTATATGAATATGTAATATAAGAATAATACTTATGCTCTAATGTCAAGTGAACAAAGTAAGTGTCAAAAATTATTCAATAGGAGACAAAAACAATAATATGTATATACTGGGTTCATTTATGCATTTGTAGATGATATGTATCAGTATATACAAGCAATGGACTTCCCAGGTGCCCCTAGTGCTAAAGAACGTGCCTGCCAATGCAGAAAACACAGGTTTCATCCCTGGGTTGGAAAGATCCCCTAGAGTAGGAAATGGCAACCCACTCCAGTATTGCCTGGAAAATTCTGTGGACAGAGGAGCCTGGACGGCTACAGACCATGAGGCCACAGAGAGTCAGACACGACTGAGCGACTAAGCACACTCACATATATAAACAATAAACTCTATTTAGAAACAACGACAAAAACCTAAACTGCTGTTATTAGCTAAAAGTACTGGAGGGAAGTCTTGCCAGTTGATAATTGTCTTTTGTTGCCAGAACTCTGGCTGCTTTCTATTTGTTCTATTTTCCTGAATTTTCCGAAGTTTCTAGAGAGCAGTTTTTTATTATACAGAAGAATGCACTTTTGTAAAGTACTTTTTCTTTCTTTCTTTTTTTTTTTTTTAAGCAGCTCACACCAGCCAAGCTCCTGGCCAAGAGCTAGAGAGAAAGAGTGTGCTATAGAGGGGGCAGGCTCCTCTGATGGATGCTTTGCCTTTCTAGGACTCCTCTCCTCTTGAAGCAGAGTCTGCATTCCTTGCACCACTTTAGGTGTTGACATCCTTCTTGATTTACAGCAGAGACTCTCCTTTGCTCATTAAGAAAGCCCATCTCCCGTCTAGCAGATGAAGTTCATCTGACCTCACAGCATCCCTATGGGGTGGGCTGGTCAAGATCACTTCGGTCTACCTGACAGATGCAATTATTGCAACACAGAGAAGTTGTGACTTCCACTTCCTCGTGATCTGTGCCCAGTTCTCTGACTGGGCACAAAACATTGTCTCTCTCTCGATCTTTTTCTTCATCTGCCACGTTGCAAGGACAGGACCGTTTGGACTGGACATGATGATGTCCATTTGCTAAGATGGTTCCTCTGATACACCCATGTCTCACATCCTCCTCACTGCCTCATCCGCCTGGCATTTGCTGCTGCAACAGGAGCTCCTTTCTAGTCTCCTCCCTGTTGCTGGTATGACTGCTGTTTCTGAGGCCCCCCTTTGAAGTCTTCCTCCACTGGCCTGCATTGTGGGCTGCCTCAGGCAGTGTCTGCGCCTCACGATGCCAGGTCAGCAGCCACTGAAGGAGCTATGAGGGTGGGGAGGGGAAGGCGGCAGCTGCCCTGACAGACACCTGGCCCAGGGCAGCCCCTAAACATATCAGGGCCCTCGCCAGCTGACTTCAGAATCAGTTGTGTTGCTTCTAGCCTCAGTTCCAGCGGAGGCAGAGTGAACACACAGGTCTGGGATCTCACAGGTCTCTTTCCACTTTAAAGATGGTAAGAGGATGGAAGCAAAAGCCTCCATCTCTCCTCATTTTGATCTAACTCTCTAGCAATCCTGGTACCAAAACCACGAGACTCAACGACTACTCAGCTCCCATGGGAACCAACAGGGGTCTGTCTCTTGGGTTGAACAGTGACGGCCCTCTCACTTCCCCGCTCCACTCCCTGCTTCCATAAAAAGAGATGTTTTCAATTGTAAGATGCTGCTGTTCTAAATACATAAATTTCAAGTAAGTGTTTTGCAAATACCTTGAGAAGACTTCAAAACTCTGCAGAATTTAAGAGGTGTGGCTTCTGCCGCTTGGCACAGAGAGTTACTAATAAAATATCTTCACCTCCGTAGAGGTGATGGCTGTCTAGCCATCTCACACCATGAGCTAGCTCTTTGTCCTCTGGCTCCTGGAAAAGGTGATATAAAGATGATTACTTTTATAATTTTATCCTATTATTTATTTATTTTTGGCTGTGCTCGGTCTTCCTTGCTGTGTGCGGGCTTTTTCCAGTTGCAGTGCACTGGCTTCTCATTGTGGTAGCTACTCTAGTTGTGGAACACGGATGTGGTATTTCCGTGGGCTTAGTTGCCCCACAGCACATGGGATCTTGGATCAGGGGTCAAACCTGTGTCTCCTGCATTGGCAGGCAGATTCTTTATCACTGGACCACCAGGGAAGTCGTGTAAAGATGATTTTGTGAAACAGTTTTTAGTTCTCAGGCTACAGTCCAAAGGGTCGTAAAGTCAGACGAGACTGAGCAACTGAGCGTGCACATGTTATATATCAAGAAAACCTACTCTAAGGTGAATGGAGAAGGATACTGCAGACTCTGCTGCTTGAGGAAACATGTTTATCATCAGTTTCACAACCACCAACACCTCAAACGTGAAACAAACCCAGTAAGCACACAGCACTTGCTTTGTCCTGTGTCTTCCTTTTTTTTTTTTTTTTGACTTTTTAAAGAAATATTTATTTATTTAGGCTGTTCCTGGTCTTAGTTGTGGCATATGGGATCTTTTTTTTTTTTAATTTTTTTATTTTTTTCATTTATTTTTATTAGTTGGAGGCTAATTACTTTACATCATTGCAGTGGTTTTTGTCATACATTGAAATGAATTAGCCATGGATTTACATGTATTCCCCATCCCGGTCCCCCCTCCCACCTCCCTCTCCACCCGATCCCTCTGGGTCTTCCCAGTGCACCAGGCCCGAGCACTTGTCTCATGCACCCAACCTGGGCTGGTGATCTGTTTCACCCTAGATAATATACGTGTTTCGATGCTGTTCTCTTGTCCTGTGTCTTCCTGATCAGTTGTCTTCGACTTCTTTCTGCCCTAACTGCTGCTGCCAGAGTCAAACAGAGAATTCTCTGCCCCTTCCCTGACACTGTCATCAGCACTCCCAATGTCAGGACACCCGCTGCTCTGTTCTTAGTGCTGATATGGCCAGTGTCCTGTCTCAGAGTTAGTCTTTTCTGCTCCGGAACCTCAGAATGCCCTGTGATGTCCACCATCAAGGCCACATGCTACAAACCCCAATGCATGCATGCACACTGCATTCGTGTCTGACTCTTTGCAACCCTAGGGGCTGTAACCCACCAGGATCCCCTGTCCATGAGATTCTCCAGGCAAGAACACTGGAGTGGGTTGCCATGCCTTCCTTCAGGGCGTTGACCCAGGGATTAAACCCACGTTTCCTGCATTGTCAGGCAGATTCTTTACCACTAGCTCCACCTGGGAAGCCCAATATCAAACATCAAAGGCGGCATTAGAGTGTGTCTTAGCTGCTCAGTTGTGCCCGACTCTTTGCAACCCCAAGGACTACAGCCTTCGAGGCTCCTCTGTCCATGGGATTCTCCAGGCAGGTGTACTGGAGTGGGCTGCCATTCCCTTCTCCAGGGGGTCTTCTTGACCCAGGGGTCAAACCTGGGTCTCCTGTACTGCCCGTGGATTCTTTACCATCTCAGCCACCAAGGAAGATCTCACATCAGAGTAGACTTAAACGAGTAAATATAATACTAAGAATTCCACATTTATCTACTCTCTCCCCTCATGTAACCAAAGATATATGTATGTATAGCTAATCTTCAGAATTAGACATCAGTAATTGCCTACATTGGAAAATAGAAGTGAGCCATCCAGGAAAGAGATTGTCTTTCCATCAGTTATATCATGGATATATCTTCTCTCGAATATGGTTGTAGGATGAGTTTTAATGACCCACGATCTCACTAAAGCAAACTTCAAAACATGACTTGGAACTGATTTTTCTGTTGTAGAATTACACTGTTCCTTCTGGTGACTTATTGATGCTGTCTCCATTTTGGCTACATCGAAATCCAAAGTATTTTCCTGAACCTGACCTGTTCAAGCCTGTAAGTTGTCTCTTTCCATATACATTGTCCTTGGATTTCCTCTTTATGCTAAGAATATGAATTCATAAATCAATTAGGGCTGTTAGCATTAGGAGGTCATATTTCTCTCTAGTAACTAAAGCTATGAAGCACAGATTAGATTTGTAATATAAGTGGTATAACATTTACAGATCAGAAAAATTTTTCGAATAAGCTTCACCAGCTTTTAAAAAAATTTTTATCTGAAACGAGCAGGACATGGCAAAGTAAATATGCTTGATTCTGATAGAAGCTTTATTTCATGTTCTTCAGGCAATTTCTTCTGTTATTGGTTTCCATGGAGTACAAAAAATAAAAAATGAAGCAAATTAAAACTGTGTTCTGCTATTTCTTAGAACTGAGGAATTACAGCGCAAAATAGAATTTTAAGAGGTCATTTAGTCCACTGTCTGCCTTTAGGTGAAACTGTCAGAAATGGCATCCAGATGTATTCATTCTACACACCAAGCTTTCTCCAACTGGGAGGGCTGTCAGTGTCTCCTTGCTAAATTTATTACCAAGGGCAATTTTATGATGGAGCCTGAGGCCTTATTATAAATATTCTTCCTCTTCTGAGGTCAATTCTGTCGTTGATTTACATTATCATTTACATTTGCCACTTAACAAAATTTCTTTTTTAAACCTTTTTATTTATTAGTTCGTGTTCCAAAAGCATAATGGTGGCTGATATTAATAACAGGTTGGAAAAAATGACCAACAACCCTGCAACTTTATATGCAAGGATTAGCTGTACAAGATCATTTTTAGCCTAGAGAAATAAAGTTAAGCTTATTTATATAAGACTGATTTGGAAAAAAAAAATGCTTTCTTCCCACAGGAACGTTGGAAAAAGGCAAATTTAGAGAAGCATGCTTTCTTGGACTGCTTCATGGCATTTGGGAGCGGGAAGTACCAGTGTCCTGGAAGGTCAGTGTGACAGCTGGGTCACATTTATCCAGAAAGTCTGCAGAAAGATGAGGGCTCAGAGGGGGAAAGCTTTGGCTTAATCCCTCTTTTTTTCAATTATCGAAACTAAAGGACATCTAGGAGACCACAGTCTCTTTGGTTGGCCCATCGTATTGTGTGATGTCTTTCTGGGAATGTCTGCAGTGGTTTCTGATTGGAGACCTCTTGAGAATTAAATATTACAGTTGCAGCTGCCAAATGAAAGCTGGGTTTGTGTTTCAGATGCTCAGCTTTCCTATAAGGATGATTTGAAGTGCTTTGACTTTTTTTTTAAAGATAAAGATAGTGTGCATGTGTGCTCGGTTGTGTCCAACCCTTTGCGACCCATGGGCTTAGCCCACTGGGTTCCTCTGTCCACGAATTTTTCCAGGCAAGAATACTAGACTAGGTTGCATTTCCTTCTCCAGGGGATCTCCCTGCCCCAGGGATTGAACCGAGTCTCCTGCATCTTCTGTATTGGCAGGCAGATTCTTTACTACTGAGCCACCTGGAAAGCCAAAGATAAAGATAGAAGTATCAGTATTTCTTGATATGTCCATAACAGTGTTATGATGGACATTTGCTGGGGTTACATAACATCTTTAACTTGGAGCATCACAGCAACTTATTAGGTGGTTTTTGTTTATTGAATTAGTTTGGTTCTATAATAACCTGCCTCTGATGTCTTTTAGAGTAAAATTGATATGGTACCCAGGCTGACTGTTCAGTGTGATGCCCTATTCTAGTGCAAGTTACTTACTGTTTATTTAAGAAGCTTTTTGAACATCTCACCTGTAGCAGGCCCTGTACTAAGCGTTAGGAATAGAGCATGGAGAAAGATGAACATGGCCCCTGACCTTGTAAAACGTACAGCCTGCATTGAATGAATACTGTTTCCTCATTGGAGATGGTTCTGTTGGAGAAAGGTAGATACCTGTTTATAACGAAATCTCACTCAGTGAACATACAGATCCTTTAAAAATTCTGTATCCGAAATATTGTAGTTTTTAACTCAAGGCACTCATCTTCATTGAGCATAATTGAAAGTGAAAGTGAAGTCGCTCAGTCCTGTCCGACTCTTTGCGACCTCATGGACTGTAGCCTACCAAGCTCCTCAGTCCATGGGATTTTCCAGGCAAGAGTACTGGAGTGGGCTGCCATTGCCTTCTCCAGGGGATCTTCCCTGGATCTACCCAGGGATCAAACCCGGGTCTCCCGCACTGTAGGCATACGCTTTACCGTCTGAGCTACCAGGGAAGCCCTAATTACCAATCCATATTTGAGCATAATTATCAATCCATATATGTGATTATGACTTACTCAACAGGATCCATTCAGCTCCTCCTTTGTTATATGTTTTATAATACCAGCTTGCTTTTTGTAATTGACATGTGCTCCAAAATGGTTATAATTAGCCTTGGCCAACCATGGAAATTCTGTCTTCCTAGAAGTTGTTCTAGAAGCTGAGGGGTAGGTAAGCAGATTGGTGCCTGGTGTTTCCCTGGAGACAACTATTTGTCCTTGTCCTAAACTGGTCAATCAGATTGAAGGGAGAGACGTTTTTCTTCTGTGCATAGGAGAGAGGCCCCCTCTGTCCTTTCCCACTAGAAGTGAACAAGCAAGCAGGTAGCTCCAGTTGTTGCCAAGAGCCAAGTTCAAGAGCAATAAGCTTTAGGATGGTGTGGAGCGTGTGGACACAGAGGAGACATATGGGAAAAGCCTGGTCCGTGAGATGTCCCGTGTCACTGAATCATCAGTATTGAGGAGCTACTCTACTTACTGTTATGATAGATATTAAATATTTTTATCTTGATAAATAATATATATTACACGTAATATATGCATGATACACGTTCACTATTTTTTAAGGCAGTTTGCGTTGGAAGTTTCATTGGTTAGACCTGAAAGCATGCTCACATGCCCACCAAAGAAACTCCAAAGTTGAATATTATAATTAAGTGTCAGATACTGTAAGGGAATAGTATAACAAACAAAAACAATAATAACTACAAAACTCCATGAAGCTCATCCTTCCTCTAATATTAGTTTTACTTTAGAAAAGCAGTTCTTAAACCAATAACATATTTATTATTTTTGTCATCTACTAATATCAATGTTATGAGAGTAGGTCTTTTAAAAACATTAGCTAATGCTTTTTTCCAGTCCCTTTATATGTATATTCCTAGGTGTGCCTAAAGATTTTATTATAAGCATCTTTATTTTTTTTCATTTATTTTTATTAGTTGGAGGCTAATTACTTTACATCATTGCAGTGGTTTTTGTCATACATTGACATGAATCAGCCATGGAGTTACATGTATTCCCCATCCCGATCCCCCCTCCCACCTCCCTCTCTACCCGATTCCTCTGGGTCTTCCCAGTGCACCAGGCCCGAGCACTTGTCTCATGCATCCCACCTGGGCTGGTGATCTGTTTCACCCTAGATAATATACATGTTTCGATGCTGTTCTCTCAAAACATCCCACCCTCACCTTCTCCCACAGAGTCCAAAAGTCTGTTCTGTATAAACATCTTTAAAATTGAGCAACCAGTAGTTTAAACCAAGGACTGAAATGCTTTGCCATGCAGCATATAGTGTGGGCCAATGGTCAAGGAATCACTGATGACTGTGGTTTCTAAGAGAGGCTATTACAATCTTACAGTGATATCTTTTGAGGCTAGCAGACATTTGCTTGAGTTTGATAGCAGTGGGTCCAATAGTGGGGCCATCACAGTTCAGCTCAATCAATAGTATATTATTTATTCAGAAACTATACATTTTTCAATGTACTGAGCTCATACTGTATGTTCTGCAGTAGGTACTGCAGAAGCTTTGGGCAAGAATAAGACATATTCTCAGTCCTCAGGAGACGACATCTGTAGGAGAATATCATATCGAGTTCACAAATAACTGCAAGGAATACTGGATGAGAGATGGCCAAGTGTCACACTGTGGAGATTCAAGGGACGGTGTATCTGATCAGAGTGATCTTAGACAGTTTTCTGGGGAGAAAAGCCTTTGAAGAGTTAGATGAACTTCCGGACAGAGGAAGCAGTAAGCAAAGGGTCATTTGGTCAAGGGTATGTGGGCTAGGGGTTATAGTTTTACTAGTACTGGCCAGTAGTGATTAGAAGACAGATTGAAAAGGTACATTGGTCCAATGATATATTACAAAGATTTGGGTAGAGCAGACTTGAGTGAGGCATGCCTTAGGTTATAAGGTCATGCTAGCATTCCATCTCAGAGACATGAAGTGGTGGAATCTTATCAGATTTGGAAAATGATTAGAAATGGTGATCAACTGAGAGGGAGGATTTGAGGAGGATGGTGGCTTTGAATCTATGTGGCTGGAAGAGATGGTAGAAATAGAGAAATTAGGAACAGGAGCAGTTTGGGGGACAAGACGTTAGGTTTTCCTTCAAAAACTTTTGAGTGCAAAGTGCAGCAAAATATATATCATAGAACCAAAACCTGTAGGCTGAATATGAATGTTGAATAAATATGACTTAATTTTAAAAAACCAACTCAGCTTATTTAGTTTTCTATTAAGTTTCTGTTTTTAATAGTCCATAATTTTTCTGTTACTTATTTTAAACAGCCAACCTATAAAACATTAAAAACAAAACAAAACAAAAAACAGAAAATTGTTCATGAAGGCGAATGACCTCATTTGGACAGCATGTGCCAAGAAAGATCTTTGCACTAGAAATGTAATCCCACAAAACCTTAGTATAATCCCTAGAAAATGCACCCATTCTTAGTTTGTGTGCCTCGAGCCAGTTTATTTTCTCATGTACCAAACACTCAGTGAGTCAGAGAAATTTGCCTGTGAATTAGCTGATGATCAAAGTTTGTCAAGAAAACATTGCGGCCTTGCAGCTGTCACCCCTTGGTGTTTAGGCCAGAAGAGTCCCTCTCCCAAGTGAACACCGAGTAAGAACTTGATGCTGCCATCAGCTGCCAACCAAAAAGCAGAATGGAAGAACTAGAGTTCCTCCTTGAAAGACAGGAGTTCAGAAAGTATATTTAGAGGGTGAACCCCTGGCGAGACACGTTTCTGCAGTGGAAGGGAATTCTTCCCAAATAAATCTCCTGCTGGAGAGATCTAGTGATTGTGCAGAAAAACAAGCAGGAGAAAACACATGAACTACTGGACTGTACCAGCCATCGTAGTATACAAAATGAAGAATGGACATATTCCTGTTGAACTGTGAATTTCGATGGAGGAGTAGGATGGGGGATTTCCAGTGTCGAGTGGGTGTCTCTGAGAGTCGATTATCTTAGCAGAAAGGGATGTGCCTGCCATACCCACCCCCTGGCATGCACATCAAAGCCAACAGTCCTGTTTGCCCTTGGTGCCCATCCCTGCAAGAGGATCCCAGGGGGCTGTGTCATTGTGCTGATTGATATGGGTTAAATTCCAGTGTAAACAATAGCTCTGATCTTTGGCAAGATTACCCTCCCCCCACCCCCCGTTACAAAGGCATGCTTGGATAAGAAAAGGGTGTAATAAGAGGAAGTACTGGAAGTACTGGTGCAGTACTGGAGACCTGGAAATGAAGCTTGGACTTCTCCTGAAGAGAAACTGTGATTTCTACTTTTTGTGTGTATTTGGGTTTTTCATGTATCCTAGGGCAGGGAGTGCTAGGTCACAAAGTCATGGACTCATCTTGAATTACTAACGAAAGTCACATCACTATTGGAAAATTAATTCAGACATGGGTCCAGCTGATAGTAGATTAGATTCCTGGGTCGGGAAGTTCCCCTGGAGAAGGGATAGGCAACCCACTTCAGTATTCTTGGGCTTCCCTGGCGGCTCAGACAGTAAAGAATCCACCTGCAATGCAGGAGACCTGGGTTCGATCCCTGGGTTGGAAAGATTCCCTGGAGGAGGGCATGGCAACTCGCTCCAGTATTCTTGCCTGGAGAATCCCCATGGACAGAGGAGCCTGGGGCTACAGTTCATGGGGTTGCAAAGAGT